CAAAGAGACCATATGGTCTATGAAACCTAAAACATCTGGCCACTCACAAACTATCTGGCCCTTCACAAACTGCCTAACCCTTTACAAAAAAAAATTGCTGCTTCCTACCTTCTCTTCTCCCAAAACAGTCATTTGCACTGAGGTTTAAATGACTGATAATATCTGAAGAACTATCCTTTGCCCTTCAGAGAGTGTTATGGATTGATAACTTTGTGGCAGAGGTGGAGGCTGAAGCTTGAAGCTTTGGGGGATTTCTAGCAACAAGCAGGGATTAGAGGAAGATGCTTTGTAATGGGGAGTTGTCCTGGAGTCAGCCTTTCTCAGTGCCAGCTGTCAGAGCCTCTCAGCAGGAGGTATCCATACAACAGATGGAATACAGCATTTTCATCACAATTATGTGCATGGCTTTACTCCTAGGTATTTCTACATAGGATTTGTATTGCTGCAAATACGTTGAGGTACACAGTAGAGCACACACAGGGCAAAGCTGTTAAAGTTTCCATAGTCCTAGCCCAAGCTTTGTGGGACTGAGTCACTGGGCGCGAGGGGTAGGAACCACAGTCTTAGGGGACATCTAGGTGAACTGGCATAACAGTCCATCAAGACAGTGTTTTGCATTCTAGCGAGTCGTGTCTGGATTTGTAAGTGGTCATCTAAAATGCAATTACTGGCCCCTCTCCTTCTGGAGGAAAGAAGAGTGAAGAAAACGAAAGACTCAAGGATATAATCAGGCCAAACGAGTCATGGACCACGCATACCACAGCTTCTAGTAGTCAGCGACCAGAAGAACTAGAGGGTGCCAGCTGCCACTACCAACTTCTCCGAGCAAGATCACAATAGAAAGTCCTGGGCAGAGAGGAGGAGAAATGGAGAACAAAATTAAAATCATAAAACAGAAGCCGGCTTACTTGTCTGATAAAGACTGATGGAAGCTCAAGACTATGGCTCTTTGGCTGAAGCCCCCCTTTGGAGACCTTTCAGCTAAGCAATAGCTTTGCCCATAAATTAAATCGTTAACATACCTATGAAGAACATACTCCTCAGAGCAATCTGTCACGTGAACACAAAAGGGCAGCATTTGCCTAAAAGCAAAGCTCAGAAAATAGGAAGGGACAGGAAAGAAGGACAAATGGAAACAGGGAGCCCATGGAGGAAGCAAAAAGAGTGCTATTACCTTGAGGGGCTGCAACAAATGTTAGGAAATAGAAAGTTATTAACTGTTGAATGGGAAACTAATGAACTCTGACAACTTTCATCCAAATCACAATAAAATGTTCAGAACAAAAAATATGGATTTTTTTTTAAATTATGGAAATTGAAATCTGATAAAGAAGATCCCTTTTCTGCAGACTCATTGTGATGGGCGGTACCCTTTAAATTGCCTCCAGAAAGAAAAGTGCATGGCAGCTGTTTGTGTAGATCGCATTCTATAGTTGTTGTTGTTGTTGTTGTTGCTGTTGTTGCTGTTAGGTTTCTATCTAGTTGAGTTCAACTCATAGCAATCTTATGAACAACATATCTGAACTCTGTCCTATGCTGTGCCATCCTCTCTGATATACTCAAGCCCACTGCTGCAATTACTGTGTTAATCCATGTGGTTGAGGGTCTTGCTTTCTTTTGCCAACCCTCCGGCTTTCTAAGCATGATGTCTGTGGTGTTAGCCTCAAAGCTGGCGCTTTTTTAGCCATTATGTTAAGTGCCCTCTGGTCTCCCGCAACCTTAACTGTAGACATGTAGTCTTGGGGCTAGGATATGAGCAAGAATGCTTCTGGCACTGAGTAGCAAGGCTTGTGGCAAAAAGGCTTGAGGAGAACAAGACATAAGGGAGACTCTGGAGCAGGACCCTCATGAGAGTGAAACCCTGGTGATGATAGTGGAGAGACTGAGGCATTGCTGTAGAGAAACTGTGGCAAGGTGTGACCTGAGGCTTCTTGCATTTGTGCTGGCTACAACTAAAGGCTTTGCTATCCTTGCTTTTGATGATGGAAGGAAAAGCTACTTGGTGAACTGAACTGGACTTTTACTAAGCATTATGAAACAGACTTTGCCTCCCTCACTCTCCAACTTACTTCCCTAATAAACTTCACTCACAACTGTGAGTCTATGAGCCAACAATAAATAAATGAACCTCTTGCTGCTGATTTCGCTATAGGGACACCATAGAACTGGGCTTTGGGCCCTTTAGCTTCTTTCTGCTCTGAATCAGTGAGAGGATGTGCTATCCTCACTCCCTCTGGCCCTTTCAGAGAGATGCTCATGACCCTGTGCCCCCAGATACCATTTTCAGCTCTCTAGACAATATCCTTCTCCAAGGAATAGTCTCTCCTCTAAGGAATGCTCAGAGTATGTGAGATGAAGCTTTGCCATCCTTGCCTGCAAAAAGCACTCGGGCTGCACCTTCTCCAAGACCTATTTGTTATTTTGGAAGTTCATAGGATGTTTACTCCTTCAACACCACAGTTCAAAGATATTAATTCTTCTTCTGTCATCCTTATTCAATGCACATCTCTCAGATCCATGCCAAATGATTAAAAAGAGCATAATCTGAATCAGGAACACCTTAGTCCTCATACATACATCTTTGCTCAATCAATAATTTGGAGAGGTCCCTGATTACAGACTTTTCCCAGTGCAATATGTCTCCTAATCTCTTTACTGCTGGTACCAAGTGTATTCATAGTGAAACCAAGTAAGATCAAGCCAATAACAGTTTCAATCTTTTTTCCATCTATCGTGATGTTGCTTATCATTCCAATGGTGAGAATTTTTTTCTTTATATTGAGATGCAATCCATATTGCAGGCTTCAATGTTTGCTCTTCTGTAGCAGTTCTTTCAAGTCTCCTTACTTTTAGCAAGCAAGATTGTGTCATCTGCATCCAAATGTTATTGATGGATCTTCCTCTGATCCTGAAGCCATATTGTTCTTGATAGCGCCCAGCATCTCAAATAATTTCCTCAGCATACAAATTGAATAGACATGGAAATGTGATACAAGTCTGATGCATGCCTTCCTTCATTTCTAACCATGTGGTGACTAAAAGGTCATAACTAAAAGAAGCAGTGGCTCCAGGACAAAAGGAGGGCTGTAGGTTTTGTTGGGGTGTTTTTTTTCTTTTATTCCTATTTCTTTGCAAAGTTTGGACACATTGTTTTTCACAAAAGATCCTTCCCATTTCCTTCACCCAACCCCACCCATCAAATTGTGCAACCCTATAAATAACACCCAACCCCCCCTCATCCTCACCCTTCTATTTCCAACCTCCCCACCCCTGCCTTGGATCCTCATACTCATGGCAGAAGTGTCCAACTCACTGGTAGCACAAAAAAAGTAAAATTGAAGAAATGGAGCAAAGAGTCAGTGAATTAGAAGACAAGAGCCTCACTGAAAACATACTTGAAGAAAAATCAGAGATGAGACATAAAGAAAATGAAGAAAACATTAGAATCATGTGGAATGACATCAAATGGAATAACATATATATGATTGGAATTCTAGAAGAGGGGAGTGACAAGGAAATTGCTGAAAAAAAAATAGTGGAAGAAGTACTGGAAGACAACTTCCCAGGTATTTTTAAGAATGAGGAAATCCACATTCAAGAAGCACAGACATGAACTTTAACCTATTCTGCACGTTTTTGACCGTCTCTGATATACTTAAGTCCATTGTTATGGTTGGACTGTGTCAGACCATCTTGTTCAAGGTCTTCGTTCCTTCTCTGATCCTCCCTCCACCTTTCCTAGAAAGTTGCCTTTTTCAAGGAATGGGACCTTCTTGACAACATACCCAAAGTATGTGAGGCCAAGATTCGTATCTTTTCCTCTAAGGAACACCCTTTCCTGGTTGCACTTCCACCAATAAAAGACTTGTTTATTTCTTTGGCAGCCCTTAGGATATTTAGTACTCTTCTTCAACACCAGAATTCAAAGGCATTGATTCTTCTTCTGTCATCCTTATTCATTGTCCATCTGTCAGATACATAGAAAGTAACTGACAATACCATTGCTTGGATCAGGCACTCTTTAGTCTTTAAACTGAGGTCCTTGCTCTTTAGAGCTTTAGAGCATTCCTTGCCGGCCTTTTTTCTCCCAATGCCACATGTCTCTTAATTTCTTGACTGTTGATACCATGGATGTCAGTTACAAATCCAAGTAAAATTAAATCATTGACAACTTCTTATCTGTGAATTCTAATGTTCGTAAAACATACTTTAAATAATTGGACTATCCATTTCCTAAACAGCGTGCCACTGGAAACTCTATGAACTTTGAGAAACGACGATAGTTCTAAAAAGGCTTCAGGTCTTTTGTTCACAGCGTTGCTATGAGTCGTGCTCGACTCGACAGCCCTCAACAACAACAATATGTCATTACTAGCTGCCATCAAATTTCTTTTCTAACTCACAGCAATCCCTTATGACAGGGTAGAGCTGTTCTGTAGGTTTTCCTTATGGGAACAAATTACCTTTTTCTCCTAAAGAGCCGCCACTAAAGTTAAAGCACTAAATTTTCCATTAACAGCTGAACATTTAACTATTGCATCACCCAACACGGATCCCACTGCCTTCAAATCACTTCCAGCCCTTGAGCCTACAGGTCAGAGTAGAACTGCCGCATAAGCTTTGGTGCAGTCCATAGTGTGTTCCGATACTGACCAAAAAGCCACACATCTCCAGCAGTTCGAGTCTACCAGCTGCTCCACAGAAGTAAGATGGACAGTGTTTTCCTGTTAAGATTTACGACCTTGGGAGCCCAGTGGAGGGTCAACTCAATGGCAGTGAGTTTGAGATTGAAGGTTTTTATGGAAACAAATTCTCACATCTTTCTCCCACAGAGAAGCTGCTGAGTTCAAACCACTGTGCTTTTCAGTAGCAGCAGAATGCTTAAGCCACTGTGCCACTAGGGGGGGGGAAATCTGGCTTCTACCTTCCAGAACTCTGCACCTGTTGCTGGCCGTGGTGCCTCAGAAGCCCTGACCTTGCACCCACCTTTTGTCTTCTAGAACCTTAAGCGAGTGGCAGAAGTGTGGATGGACGAGTACGCCGAGTACATTTACCAGCGCCGCCCTGAGTACCGCCACCTCTCAGCCGGGGACGTGGCTGCTCAGAAGAAGCTACGCAGCTCCCTAAACTGCAAGAGCTTCAAGTGGTTTATGACCCAGATCGCCTGGGACCTGCCCAAATTCTACCCACCCGTGGAGCCTCCGGCAGCCGCTTGGGGAGAGGTGAGTGTGGAGAGCACAGCCCAGTGCAAAATGAACAGCCAGTCCTCTGGTTCACAAATGGGCCAGAGTGCCATTAAACATATAAAATAGAAAACGTCTTCCTTTCCTCCATGGCCTTCCTCTCGGGACTTGCCATAGTGTGTTCTTATTTACAGCTTCATATTCTAAGTAAAGAAAAGATAACAATTTTAAATTCCCAGTGTGGATTTCACCATTCATCTATATTACACAATGCCACCAGTTTTCAGTGCAAAAATTTAAGAGCATTTGTGACTCATGTGAGAAGTTGAAATTCCATGATCTGTATTTCCTCCCTCATCTGTACATGTGAATTTTGGTCTTCCCCAAACAGTCTGAGCACTGCATGAATCTAACTCCGCTGTTTTTATTTCACTTCTTAAGAATGTACATACTCTTCCAACACTTTCTGATGAATAAGGGAGACTGGAAGAAAAAGTTCCTTCCAGTTCTTGGGCGACCCACTTTGCCTGTCATCCCATATAATTTACTCAGTTGTGATCAACTAGCAGAGAAGGAAATGAGAAAGAAATTACATTAAAGGAAGTTAAAGGAAGGGTTTCTCAGTCATTCTTCTTTCTTACATAATAGTACCTCCCTCGTGTGATTCTTATGTCATTATTTGTGTGTTCAAAGCAAGTTCCAGTTTAAAATCAGACATGCCCTATCAGACCTTCCCATTGCCCCAGTCAGTTATAGGGTGATTTTCAACAAAGGATCTCTGAACCACAGTCTCTGGACCAACTGGAAGGGAGGCTGTTTTATTTCCTAGTTTATGCTATGATATAAATTCCAGAAGAGAGTGGATTTAAAAAACAGATTCCTATTTTTCCATCTCTCATTTCTGGAAGCTAACAGCTAAATCAGGATCTTGGCCATATTGATTCTTTCCTCCCCAGCACCTCTGCACAGTCCATGATCCCTTGACCTGTAGATGATCCTCACAGGGTATCTGTCTTCCCCATGTACATGTGTCTGTTGTCTCCTTTGGTCTTTTTTATAGCTTAGAAATGGTAGGACCCATCCTAAACAGGTAGTACCTCAACATAACAGAAGAAAGCAACTGTTTCCAAAGAGGTTCACATCCAAATGTGCAGGGGCCAGGAATTTAACACATACTCTGGGGATACACATTTTAATGTTTAACAGATGCACCATGCAATTCCTGAACTTACTGAATCAAGTTCTCAGCAATGGGACTGGGGGGGTCTGAATTTCAGCAATCCATCACTTCCAGTTCCTCCCATCACTCCCACCAAATGAATCTGCAGACTCTAAGCTCATGAGTGTTTTGAGGAATTGTTCTGTGTTGACTGAGTATTCATTTACTGATAAACGCTGGGTAATTCCAATAACCCAGCACAAACTCAGAGCTTAATGTGCCTAATGTCTCAGCCCTAGTTCCTACCTCCTGCCCCAGCAGGGACACGAGGGAACACCTTGAAGTGCTTCACTGGTCCTCTTCACCCTTCTTTCCTTCCAGATCCGCAGTGTGGGCACAGGGCTGTGTGCAGATACGAAGCATGGGGCCTTGGGCTCCCCACTGAGGCTAGAGAGCTGTGTGCGGGGCCGTGGAGAGGCTGCCTGGAACAACATGCAGGTAGGGGCTGCTCTCAGGGATTCTGGGCATGTGGTTGGGCCAGGCTCCACCTTCAGAGAGGGAAGCATGGCCGTCAACTACCTAAGTGGAGCCTGTGTCCTCTGGGCCTCAACTATCCTGAGCAGAGAAGGGGCTATGACACTGGTGAAGAGAGAAAAGTGAATCTCAGACACATCAGCTGAGTCATAATACATCATACTGCTCATTCAATAATTAAAACAAGGATATAGTAGATATCAGAGACATGGCCAGACTAACAGTTATAGAAGATTCCATCAAACCACAAAAAAATGTACATTCTTTTCAAGTGCACAGGAAACATTTGCAAGCATCAGATCCATATCCTGGGACATAAAACAAGGCTCAAGAAGCTTAAAAGGTTTTAAATCATACCAAATATGTTTCCTTACCACAGTGGAATGAAATTAGAAACCAATAACGGAAAGATCTCTTAAAACATCCAAATATTTGGAAACTAAATAACACACTTCTAAATAATTCAATCTATCTAAAGAAAACTGAATATACATGGACTGCCAGAGAACAAACAAGTATGTCTTAGAAAAAGTACAGCTGGAATACTTCTAGGAATAGGGGATAACAAGACCTTGTCTCACATACATGGTACATGTTACCAGGAAGGATCATACCTGGAGGAGGATATTATGCTTGGCCAGTTAGAGGGTCAGTGAAAAAGAGGAAGAGCCTCAGGGAGATGGACTGACATAGTGGCTACAACAGTGAGCTGAATGAAGCCCAGCAGTGATTGTAAGAGTGGTGCAGGAGCAGGCAGGTGGGTTTGGTTTGGGGCAATTATTTTGTGTGCAGATGGCCTAGTGGTGAGAAACTGTGCTGCAATCCTGAAGGCACACAGTTCAAATCCACCAACTGCTCCAAGGGAGAAGGATGAGCAATCTCCTCCCATGCGATTAACTGCCTTTGAAAACCCACCAGAAGCTCATCTATGGATCAGTTCTGACCCCACAGTACACAACAGTGACAACAACAGATAACAGGGAGCCACAGTGGTGTGGTGCATCGTGTGTTTCATTGCTAAGCAAAAGGCTGAACATCTTGGAAGTTCAAATCCACCATTAGTTCCATGGGAGAAACATGAGCAAACTCCTCCCATAAAGATTTATAGCCTCAGAAACCTGATGAGAGGATTGCTATGAGTCAGAACCAACTGGAAAGCAATGACTGGTGGTAATGGAATGAATAATAATCCATAATTAAAGTAGAAATCAAAGTGGAAATTAGAAAGTATTTTGAACTGGACAAGAATTAAACCATATCAATATTTATAGAATGCTGTTAAATCTACAACACTGAATACCTCTGTTAGACATGATCTCAAGTAAATGACTTGAAAAACGAGGGGAAAAAAAGCAAATGGAAATCAGAGTAAGCTGAAGGGAGTAAAATAGCAGAACAGAAATCAATGACCTAGAAAATAAAAATAAATTAAACCAAAAGAAGGCTCTTTGGCACAGTAAATAAAACTGACAAACCTCTGGCCAGAATGATCAGGAAAAGGGGAGAGAAGATACAAATTATAACTGTCAACAGTGAGACTCATGACATCACTATAGATTTCATAAATATTAAAAAGGGTGATAAGGGAATAGTAATAATTTTTTGCCACTGCATTTTACTATTTACAAGAAATGGGCACATTTACTTAAAGAGGCAAACTACCAAGTGTCAATCATGTAGAAATAGATAACTTGAATAACCCTATTAAAGAAGTTGATATTGAAATTAAAAGCCTTCTCACAAAGAACAATCCAGGCCATATGGTTTCACTGATTAATTGTATCAAATATTTAAGCAAGAAATGTTACCAATTCTATAAAAATTCTTCCAGGAGCAAATGTATTCTAGTCATTCTGTGATCTCAGTATTCCCCTTATACTAAATAATGACAGACTATGACATTACAGGAAAACCTCAGGCCAGTATATCTCATGAACATGTTGTTGTTGTTGTTGTTGTTGTTGTGTCCCATCAAGTTGCTTGTGACTCATAGCAACCCTGTGTACAAAAGCCCTATACCAAAGAAAAAAAAAGCCCTATACCCTGCTCTATCCTGTGCCAATCTTAATGTCTCTGACACACCTACCTCCATTACCCCAGTCACTGACTCAATCCATCTCATTGAGGGTCTTCCTCTCTTCCCTCCACCCTCCCAAGCATGATGTCCTTCTCCAAGGACTGGTCCCTCCTTACAACATGTTCAAATTATATCAGAATCCTTGCCTGCAAGGAGCAGCCTGGTTTCACCCTCTCTAGGTCAAACCTGTTTGTTCTCCTAGCAATCCCTGGTATATTCAGTGCTCTTCTTCAGCACCACAGCTAAAAGGTATCAATTCTCCTTCTATTATCCTAGTCTTTGTCCAGCTTTCTGATACAAAGACCATGGCGTGGATCAAGTGCACCTTAGTCTCCAGACTGACATCGTTGCTCTTTGGTACTCTGAAGAAGTCTCTGACAGCAGACTTTCCCAGTACAGTTCCTGGCTGCTGGTACCCAGAGTGTTGATTGTGGAGCCAAACAAACTGAAGCTGTTAACAATCTCAATCTTTTCACCATCTATCATGATGCTGCTAATTGGCCCAGTAGTGAGAATCTTTGTTTTCTTGATGTTGAGCTTTAATCCATATTGAAGGCTGCAGCACTTGACCTTCTATAGCAAGTTTAGATAACCATATCCAATGTTGTTGCTATTATTGATTGCTGTCGAGACAAGCATGACTCATAGCAACCTATGAACAAAATGCCTGAACCTGTCCTATAACTATCATTGTTTTTCTAAGTTCATAGAGTATCTAGATGTATATTGTTTAGGAAATGGATACTACTCGTGCTTCCAAACCTGTCTTAATCTGGGAGCTCCACCAAACACTGTCCACCATGAATAACCATTAAGGCATTTGACACACCTATCATACAGGGTTCAGCATCACAGCAACCCCAGGTTACCTCAGTACAGCAAATTGACAGACCAATGTTGTACCACTTAGAAGAATGTTCCTCCAAAATATAATAACACTAGGCCCCAGGGCCACAGGCCCAAGGGCCCAACCAACTTTCAAATAAAAAGACCCTCCACCAGGTCCTATTGATTCTAAACAAGAGGCTTAAAAAACAAACAAACAAACAAAAACCAAACAGTCCACATCCAACCCTCAACCAAAAGAAGAAAGCCCACCTTTCAGAGTCCAACTGCTTCACCCATGAGCCTCCCAATCATATCCAATAGCAATAAAAAATTATAAATATGACTTATCTTAGTAATGCAGGATTGGTCTAACATTGGAAAATCAAAGTGATGCAACATGTTTACAGACTGGGAGTAGGGGCAGAAATATGTGTATTTATTTTTTAAGTATATATTTATGTGCCTATTTTATAAATGTGCATATACTTTATATATTTTTATTAAGCAGTCACTTCAGTAAACTGAGGAAAAAAATTCACAAAATTCAGGACAAGTTCTTGACTTAGAAACAAAAAATCTAGTGTAAATCAGAAATAGAAGAGAATGCCTTCAACTTACTATGTGCCCCAAAGTAAAAGACTTGACTACTAGCCAGAAGTTTCTTAGTTAGAATCCACCCAGGAGCACTTCAAAAGATAAATATGTCAGTCTGCTTCTGAAAGGTCACAGCCTAGAAAAATCTATGAAATATTTCTGCTGTGCACATGTGTGACCAAGAGTCAGAAAGACCTCTATGGCAGCTAGCAACAACACCAAATGAAGAACCTCTAAAGAACATTATACTTAATGGTGAAGGTCTGAATCTTTTTCTCCTGAGATCAAGAATGAAACAAGGATGTTCAATCATATTATTTCTATTAGACATTGGACTTTCTGGCCTCTATAACAAAACAATTAAAGAAAGAAGTCATTCATATGGACAAAGTTTATCTTAGCTGATAGCAAAGTACCAGAGGAATGTCTATCTGTGTTTCATTGACTATACAAAGGTATTTGACTGTATAGATCACAACATATTGTGGCTAATCTTGAGAAGAATAGGAATCCCAGAACATTTAATTGTACTCATGCAAAACCTATACTCGGACCTCTTGGTTGTCTGAACAGAACAAGAGATACTCTCTGGTTCAGGGTCAAGAAAAGTGTACACCAGGGATGCATCGTCTCTCCATACCTTTTCAATCTATATATAGAATAGATCATCCAGAAGACTGGACTCTACAAGTATCAGTGTTGGAAGAAAACTCATCAAAAACCTGCATTATGCAGATGACGCAACCTTCTTGAAACTGTAGAGGACCTGAAGCATTTGCTGCAGAAGGTCAAAGACTGCAGTCTTCAATAAGATTTAAGCTCAACATCAAAAAAACAAAGATTCTCACCACTGGGCCAATTAGCAGCATCATGATAGATGGAGAAGAGATTAATATTGTTAACAATTTCCACTTGCTTGGTTCCATGATCAGCACTAACAGTCAGGAAATCAAAAGATGAATTGCATTGGGAAAATCTACTGTCAGATTTATCCTATCCAGAGTACTGAAGAACAGTGATGTTAGGGACTAAGATTTGCCTGATCCAAGCCATGGTCTTCTCAATTACTTTCTATATATCTAAGAGCTGGACAATGACTAAGGATGATAGAAGAATAATTGATGCCTTTGAGTTGTGGTGCTGGAGAAGAGTATTGAACATACTATGAACTGCCAAGAAAACAGGTATGTCCTGGAGAGGGTGAAACTTAGATGGAGAGAGTGAAACTGTTGTGTTCCTTGGAGGCAAGGATTGTGATGCTTCATCTCACATACTTTGGCCATGTTGTCAGGAGGGGGACCAGTTCTTGAAGACAACATTCATAAATGGTTTTGTGTTGCTGTTGTTTTTAGTGGATCAAGTCAACTATGACTCAGTGACCCTATGTGCAATAGTTGTGAACGCATCCCTATTCTGAGCCAGTCGCACTCTATCTGATACATCTACCCCCATTATCCCAGTTACT